TCACTGCGCCCCGCTGCGGTGGTCTAGTGGCTAAGGTACTCGGCTGCTGACCCGCAGGTCGCGGGTTCGAATCCTGGCTGTGGCGGCTGCATTTCCGATGGAGGCGGAAATGTTGTAGGCCCGTGTACTCAGATTTGGGTGCAGGTTAAAGAACCCCAGGTGGTCGAAATTTTCGGAGCCCTTCACTACGGCGTCTCACATAATCATATGGTGGTTTTGGGACCTGAACCCCACATATCAATCAATCAATCAAGAACTGCCACTGTCAGCATGAGAATTTCGAGTAGTCAAGGCATTGGAATTCGCTTCGATGTGAACTTAAGTTTTATTAATATTGAAGTATTCGAAAGGGTACAATAATTTTGTGGGTGGTTGAACGTCCTAAAACCACGATATGATTCTGAGACGGCGTAGTGGAGGACTCCCGAAACTGCTACCATCCAGCTGAGGTCTGATCTAAACACGTAGACCTCAAACATTTTCGCTTCCGCCAAAAATGAAGCCACCTTACCCATGATTCAATCGCGCGATTATCTGAAGCCCCTATGATGTCCACTAAATCTTTATGACACGTAAGTACTTTAAAGCAGAGAGAGGGAGGAGAAAGTAATAAACATTAGAGAACTTTAAATTTCTCGTTATAATAGACAGTGTGACCACTCCTCTTCGTGGTTATGCGCCAGTTTCTCTTAGGAGGCAAAGCAAAACAGAAAACAGGCGTATGTTTTACCTTTCGAACTGGGTTTTACCACATTTTAAGTGCGCTATGCCGCAAGCTCATACCACCAAATATTTGCTGTGCCGCGAATAATCAATGTACAGTATACCAGAAATGATCACGGGCCAGGCATGTGCGAGCTATAAGGTCCCTAAAAAAGGTGTAGCGCCAACCGCACCCCCCTGCCTCCTCTCTCAGCAACTGCAGCAGCGCCCCTAGAGCATCCATTACAAAACTACATACACTGGCATACCCTCTCTCACGAGGGTAAGCCAATGTTATGGTAAGAAAAAGAAAACACGGGGCCGAGGACAGGCAAAATGGCACTTGGGCTACAAAGGCTACCAAGCACGGAAGAGAGGAGGAGCCTGCACACTGACACGAATGGCGCTACTTCAGTTATTTCGAGGGGCTCTGCTCTAAATTGCCTGTGCGCACCAACTAGCGGTGTGCCCCCTATCTCAATTTGAGTTGGGCCGGCAATGGATCGTGTAATTCACTCTCATACCAATTTTCTAGAGCTGCAGAGCACATTATTAGCTAATTTTCACGCAAAGGCGTCTATCTGTAGTGTACTTGTCGCACTAATACCTTGATAGCGAAATCGCAGCTAACGCGGGTCGCCTCCAACGATGAGCCATCGGATGGGTATAACTTTAGAGGAAAGATTTCAACTGGTAACAATTATGCTGATGAACACCATTTCGAGAAATAGACAGCAACTGGCAACAATTGCACTGTTATAATGCTACCGAGAAAGCAACAAGTAACAATGTCTGGCGAAAAGCTCGTCGTGTTAGGGTAAGAAAAATGCATTTCAAAGGCTATTAAACGAGCTAAAGACCTCATAAATCACTTATAGGTGTGATTTTCTGCGCACTTTGGAACCGTTGTGGGAGCATCGCTCAATCCCAACAAAAAGACGCACTCGACTGAACGTGGTTTGACCAACCGTGTGCCGGGTAACACGTAATCTTCCGGGCTACCGGAGCCTCTGTGCGCATACAACGCTATATGTAAGAACCATTGTGTCTCAAGAAGACTGCTGTTCCTGCCACACTACTCGCTGTGCAGGTCCCAAGCTGGCACTCGCGGAATGCGACAAACAAGCACCTACCCGAGTCCCGCAGTACTTCACAAAATATATACACTGAACGGTTCCCAAGCCCAGCCTGCCTCTGTGTGGTGGTTTTGCAGACTTCGAGCATGTTTTGTAAGGCTGTATCTCTGTCGGTTCCCCCTTTTTCCAAGAGAAAATAAAGAAGTTAATTACCTGTCCTATCCTGGCGCTCTGACGGCCAGCGCAAGGACCATGGACCCGGTTCAACCTGACGGTCCCCGAGTGAGCCTAGCCATGTGGAGGCGAGAGGTTAATGAAATAGAAAGGTCGCTATTTTTTTCCTCCCGTCGCGGAGCCTCCGTGTGTTTAGGGATGGGGAGGCTAAAGTAAAGTTCATAGGAATAAGGACCGAGAGAAATGGAAAGTGAGAGTCGTGGCAGGAGAGGGTCTTGTGAGCACAGTCGGTAGCCTGAAGCGAAAGCATCCGTCTATAAGGCGGCGAGGTCCGCCGAAGCACAGAACTCGAGGAAGGCTCGGAAGGCTTGCATCTTCGAGCTCACGGGGAAAAGGATGTCCTTCGCAGTTACCGCAGGCAGACTGAGCAGGCTGTAACGGCTCACCATCACGCATTATTCTGCGGCCAGGGAAGGACAGGAGCAAATAGTATGTTCTAGTGTTTCGTCGTCACCGCAAATTTCGCGCGCGCATGCGATGAACACCGACCCGTGGAATACACGCTTGCCGGTACGGTGCCGGTACGTAGGCGAACCAGGACTCGCTTGCTGGATTCCGTTCCGACCGGTTGTGTCCTCGCGATCTTCGACGTCAGCGTAGCTCTGGCCGACTGGGCTCGCCCTATACAACATCTCCTGACGCCGACCTCCGACGACAGTGTAGCTATGACCGACTGGACTTGCTTTACGCCACCTCCTGACGCCGACAAGAGCTCTGTTTCCATCTTTCTATATCTCCTTTATCCCCTCGATATGTCGTCGCTCTCTGGCTTACCAACTCACGCCTCTTTCTCTACACCTTTATTTTTACCCTTTTAAATCCTCATCACCCCCATCCCTTCTGAGCTACTGTTGAGGTGTCGCTCGCTGAAGCAGACAGTTACGAGGCTCACTTTTCTCTTCCTTTCTCTCTTAGAACCACTTAGTAGTAGGCGAACCAGCAACTGCCACTCGCATATGTCAAGCCCGGTCTTCGAAAGGGGAAGCGGAGGCTTGCTGCTTGCCACCCACGTGTCAGGGTGGGCCGTTGGAAGGAACAGCCGCAGTCGTTGCCGGGAGTAATCCAACTAGGCTACCATCTTGGTGACTGGGAGAGAGAGAAAGAGAGCTCTTTATTGAAAGGCAGAGAATTTAGCCGGCGTGTGTGTGTCGCTGACTTGCTACTCTGCGTGGGGAAGGGGATTGGGGACTGAAAGGCAGAAGATAGAGAAGGAAAATATTAAGAATTGAAATGGAAAGCAAAAAGTAAATATACGGACATTTTTCTGTCTCTTGGGCGGGGACGTGTGCTGACAGCATGACTTCAGTTTTCAAGACGCCCCTAACGTTTGTCTAGCTGACCGATATTGTCTAAATACGCGAATAAAGGTTTCATCGCTTGCCTCTGTTGTGCGAAGCTGGGGAAAGGGCCCAGGACACAATCAACTGATAAAGTTCTTTGGGTTAACAGATGCATGCAGTGTTCATAGAGCGCACGCTCATTGGCATAACGTCGGCACTCAAACAAGATATGTTCTACACTTTCTATGGAGCCACAGTTATTGCAGTATGGACTGTCTACTTGACCAAAGCGATACCGTAAATTCTTTCCATAAGCACTGTTGAGCTAGAGACGCTGGTAGAGAGTTTCCAGGTGTCGAGGGATTCGGGATGGGAGTCTAGTGCTTAGATATGGGTCGATAGAGTGGAGGAAAGCATAATAACATACTCCGCCATTGTGGTCTAGTGGCTAAGGTACTCGGCAGCTGACCCGCAGGTCGCGGGTTCAAATCCCGGCTGCGGCGGCTGCATTTCCAATGGAGGCGGAAATGTTGTAGGCCCGTGTGCTCAGATTTGGGTGCACGTTAAAGAACCCCAGGTGGTCGAAATTTCCGGAGCCCTCCACTACGGCGTCTCTCATAATCATATGATGGTTTTGGGACGTTAAACCCCACATATCAATCAATCAAATCAGCATATTAACGTGTGGGGACTTTGCCTCTTCTTTTCTTCGGAAACAAGCCTTTTAGCCAGCTGGGAAACATCTGATTTAGTGAAATACGTTCGCCTGTAATTTTGCTTTTGAAGTCCTTTGCGGGCCGCTTCATCTGCTTTTTCACAGTGTGCTTCCTGCCTTAGCCGCAGCGTCGGCCTCCTCGTTGCCAGCTATACAAGCGAGCGAGGGAAGCCAGCAAAGGGAAAGGCGCTCACTGCTATCTCCGATGACGGTCAGAGTGGCGTGCAGCAACGCCATAGTAGTGCCTGCTTGGTCTGGTTGGCACTGCGCTTGTAGGGCTAGCTGGAAGTCACATTAAAGAATGGCCACGGGCATCTGGGACGATGTGGCAGCGAGGTAGTCAGCTGCCAAATAAAAGACAGCCAATTCAGTTGCAGTGGAGTGGCGTGGAAGGAACGGTTGCACCGGATGGTCGCCCCAGTCGTTGGTGTGACACAGGCAGCGGCGGCCGAGCGGGGCTGTCCCGAACGGACCCGTCCGTGAACATCAAAAAATTCTCCCGCAGCCTGTTATAGACTTTCGCCATAGATGACTGTAGGAGATCGCACGTCGGTGTCCACCTTTTGCTAGATGTCCCCGCCCTAAATATATGACCAGAGGCTGCTGGTGTGGTGGAGGCGGCTGGATAGGACAGGGAGTCTGGGACACCATTTCTTCATAGAGAGCGCAGATCTTTGCCTAGGTGACGATGAGATTACTCGGATACATTGTGGACCGAATAAAGTTGTTTCACCATGCACTCACTCACTCACTACCCCACAGTGGGTATGAGTCATGTTTTCTTTTTGTAGTTGCTCAGGCAACGCAATGCATGGTGCGCAGGCAACTCGATCCAAAGAGCAAAGCCATATCGCCATCGCTATCGCCATAGAAGGAGCAGCACGTGAAGAAGGCACGCGCGAAAGAAGAAGACGTTTCGTCGCTCGGGTCGACCTACGTTCTTCATCGGCTCTCGCTTTTTTTTGGCATAGCCAAGAACGCAATCGGCCAGTTATGTCGTCGTCGATGAAATCAACGCGCAAGCAGTCTTCAGCGAAAAGCGAGACAACTGCGGCTTCGTCGATGGGCTCAGCATCGAGCTCAGCGACGGGCTCTGTGACGGGCTCGGCGACGGGCTCAGTGACGGGCTCGGTGACGGGCTCAGTGACGGACGGTGCCCTGGCGAACCCCAAACTTGCCGCCTCGCACCATAAGCTCGCTCCGGTCCGACGCAAGAATCGGCAGCGCCTCCCCAGACAGAGCAAAGCTGAGCGCGGGCCACAAGCTCCGGTATCGATCAGTGCATCGAAGTCGTCGATGACTCAAGACACCCAGGTCAGCACCTTGAATTCTTATTTTCTTATAAAAGCTGTCGTACCGTAGAAGTAAGAAATAAAAAACAAGACAGAAGTTAAAAGGGAACGTGGAGCAAATATCGTTGGAGCACACGTTTCGACAGGAGGATTTCTCGTGAGCTCAACGTCTTAATTTCTCGAGAGGCTTCCTTTGATCCTGGCAAAAGGTTAGAAACTCGCCAACCAGTGCTAAACCCTTTTCAAACGAACATTATTCACTGCAGCAATGGGGTAGTCATTAGAGAGTAATAACTTGGCAGTTCAGTGCGCCAGCGTGCCCAGGAATCAAACGGTAGCCTTATATATATATATATATATATATATATATATATATATATATATATATATTTGGAAGGGGGAAGAAGTGTACACTTAACGGGGCTCAATTTTCCGTGTTTTGACACAATAATAATGAGATATAAGAGACAATAATGCCAAGGAAAGTAAAAGGGAAGTTATTAGACCAAATTGTATTGTCAACGTGAAGACAGAAAAGTGGGTGAGAAGATAACTTGCCGTGGGCAGGAACCGCACCTGCGACCTTCAAGCAATTCCAGCACTCCCCGTGGGTGTTGTGAAGCACTACGGGAAAAGTGTGAATGTTGAGTGCGCCAGCTATCCCGTCGCCCGCTCCGCGTTGGTGCCGTGGTAGTCTCCAACAGCAACAACAAAAAAAGAAGCTGCCGCCATCGTTCCTGCCTAACTTGCTACATTATTCGGTAAGGTGCAATGACGAACAAAACTTATTGTTAATAGACAGTTATAGTTGAGCGTTAGCGTCATAGCGTAGGTTAAGGGAATGGCGCTACCGTGTAGCAAACGTTTGTTGTAGGCAGCGTCCTATAGTTATGCGAAATAGCGCTTACGGTGCTTACGTGCCCCCAAGTGGGATGGTGGCGCCACCTATTATATGGTTAATAAGTTAAATAATGAAAATGAAAAGGAAACGAAAATATTTGCCTATGCCACCACGCAAAGCATTGTTAGAAGTTTATTTTTCTGATAATAAAAGTAAATAAATATGAACCACGTACAAAACGCGAAAACATCTACGTTGCCGATTTGTTTACATTGATCTTGTAGTTAGGCCTAGGCGCGTTTGAAATGGGAAGCTATCTCAAAACCTACGCCAACTTATCCGTAATACTCAATCAACGAAGCTAACTGAAGGCAAGCGAAGCCATTTTGAGCAGTCGTCTGCTGCGAACAAGGTGAATCTTTCAGCAACTACGCCAAAATCACTTCGAAGTGGGCGTCCGAGAGCACCGCCATGTTTACGTACACTACGTGCACCTACGCTACCTTAAATCTGAAAAATACCGCGCGAACGGTAAGCGGTGCGCGTAACGTACGTATCTGCGCATGCGCACTTCGATTCCGGTATCACGGTACGCCCAGTACCACGGTAAGCCCGGTATACTATAACTCTCTAATGTGTGATGAATTTTACTTGAACGTATGGCAGCATTTCGGTATATTGACGGCATTTTCAATTAAAAAAAACTGGGCTTGCAGGCAGACGAGAAGGTAGTGGAGGGACGGGTCCAAAAAGACGGCATCCCAAGCGCCGCAGGATCCAAGGCACCTGCTACAGCAGACGGTCCCGCTAAGCCAGGCGACGTGGAACTTGCCCACCCAGCAACTTCCGAGAACCCCAAGGCTACAGCGTTTACATCTCTACCTGGGTCATCCGAACATCCTGCTGCTTCTTCAAGCGATACCGCTGCGCCAAGAACCTCTGCTAACAAGGGCAAGAGGGGTACGCAATCGCTGAATGCCTTGATCGCATTGCTCGACGTTCGTGCCGAGACACGCTCTTGTAAGGTAAGCTTTCTGCAAAATGATTTTTCTGACTATAATTGTTACCAATGGAGAATCGGGGTACTGTGTTGGCTCAAATACAACATAAAAGACGACAATTGTATTTGGCCACCCGTTCCATTTCCGTGCGTTTCAGATGCGTTTTATGTGCCACCTGTACAGCTTGCTCTTAATAAAATTTTAACTGCAGAAAAAAAACTGTCAATGTTTTTGCTTCAGCGAATAAATAAACGTATCGTTGAGTATCACTGAGGAGCGAGGTAACAGCCGTAGCAAGCCTGAGGGGCGCAGAGTTCGATAAAAATGAATGTTTTTTCATATCACGATAATATTTCTGTGTTTAAACTCTGCGCGTCTAATGCGAGACGTTCGAAATACCCCTTGTCATAGGATTTTCCCGTCGCCATTTCTTTCAGAGCAACACTCGGTCTTTTATAATCAGTCCGGTTATCTTTCGGTTCTTAATGGAGTAGTCACAGTCCGTGGTCTCTAATGATTCTTGTGACTGAATACTCACTTTTTGCGTTAGCAATTGACACTTTGCCAAATAATGAGGGAACCCTAGCGTACATGTTAAGAACACCTGTAAGTTATGTTTCCTTCAAAGTGTTTTGCACATAGTCTCTATAGTTCCCTGACTTCTGGCTCTAAACGCATTCGCCCGTCCACACTCCAGCCAAAGTACGTGAGCGCCACTAATACTCTTCAAAACACGCTGGAGGAATTTACTGCCTTGCCTCATTTTAGCTTCCCTCATGTACTGAAAAAAAAGAGAGATAAACGAAAGAAAGGAAAGGTGTTGGATAAATATGGCCTTTTAGCGAGTTACTGAAATACGGCATGCAAATCTGGTAAGGCAGTATGGTAGCGTTTCTCTTTTGCACTGACAGTGCTTCCCCCGGACGCTAGGTCCCCGTCAACAACCCGTAGGTTGACAGGCCGCAACGAGGTGAACCCCACAGTGATCTTTGAAAGAGTTTTTTGTTGTTGTCGTGGTTGTACCTTGACTGGGTTAAATGTAAGGGGCAGGAAAGGAGGAACGGTATAATAATACCGTACCGTATTTCCCTACCGTATTTCCGTAACTTGCTGAAAGAGCCTAATGATATTTTGCCCGCCACTTTCAGGTCGAGGCGATCTGCGTAGAAAACAAATGTTGCTCACACATACCTAGTAACATTTTTGCAGGACGTCAATTTGGAAGTCGCACTCGAGGTGGAACGTTTTATAAACATTCACAATACCTCTTCACACTAAACTACAATGCTCGCGGAGTGGAAGGCTTAAATTCGGGACTAAGTAATGCATGTCATTTCGCTTCCACTGCATATGGCTCGCGCCAAATCGGTATAATTTTTACTCGAACAATTACGTCAGAGTCAACATTATCTGCTGCAGCCACATTTTTGGTAACGTGACGCGGTTATTTCAAGAAATAACTCGTAGCAGTCGGTATACAAAAAAACCTCTCCATCACGGGAATTTCTATAACACGAAAGCAAAACATGTCCTTTCAGAAGTAGTTGGACCTTTACTGTACATCGATATAAGAGAGCTTTCCCGATGTTTTTTGTTTGCTTGACAGCTGCTTGACGGCTATACAACCATTTAACATGGAAGTTGGCGCTTGAGGATACCCCTTCATTCCGACGACTAACGTTAACCATGACTTAGGTGGTTCTTTAAGAGAAAAGAAGAAAAAAGTGAGCCCCCTAACTGTCTGCAACAGAGTGCGACACCTCAACAGTAGCTCACGAAGGGGGGGGGGGGGTAAATGAGAAATTAAAAGGATACGATTAAAAGGCAAATAGATAAAGAGAGGAAGGAGCGAGCGAAGCGCAGGGACAGCGAACGACGAAAGTAAAGAGGAAATAGGAGAGATGGACACGGTCGCAGGAGTCCGAGGACGGGGCACCACACAGCGAGAGCTCATGTCAGAGGCAGGAGATGGCGTAGAGGGAGCCCAGTGAGCCAGAGCTGCACTGTCGTAGGAGATCGCGGGGGCACAACCGGTCGGCACGAAATCCAGCGAGCGAGTCTTGACGATGACTAAACAAACCCTTGTAATAGCTGCATGGAGACTACAATAAGAGAAATCGATGGGACAGCCAGAAGAGCGTCGTTGATTGATCACAGCACTTGGGCTAAGGTCGCCTACTCGAGGCTTGTTATAGCTATTGGTCACCATGGCTGGGCTAGATGGAAGCGCCACACGTGTTGGTCGGCTGCGTGTTTTTCGGGGCGAGCGTAAGCGAGGAAGGCGGCGTTGCAGCCAGGTGAAGCAGTCTATCGTCACGGAGCTATTTCTGGTATGAATGGACACTATGAGGGAAGTCGATCCTTGGCAATCTGTTGAGGCGTCTGCAAAAGGCACTTCTATTTGGAACGCGCCCACTGAGATGGATGCGTAGCAACTACGCATTGAAGGAGCTAATCGCAAATGTCACGGCCATGATGCATTATTTAACTTTACCTAGAGCACTATGAGAAGACAGTGACAGACATATGTCAAACTTTGACCCTGTAGATGGCGTGCCCGGCATCTGCTGCCGTATAGAACAAGGTCATGGGTTCGACTTCCGCTGACAATACTTTTTTATTGACATCAAATCGTGTAAATTATTCCGACGTGATTTCCGTGACGGAAACCCCGCACTAAAGCCTTGTTGGACCCCGGCATAAAACAAAACCTTGTTTAAAAAAAAAACGAAAGGTTTCGCGCAGTGTGGAAAGCCATGTAACACGAAGCATTCAGCGAGGAGCTGAATGCACTGCATTGCTTGTCTTAGGGGAAAATCAAAGCATTCATGTTCATGTTGTGATATTTCTTTCACTATAATGTTTGTCATGTACGCCCACGTGTTCACCCTGGTGTATGTCATGTTAATGAAGCGTATATTGTTATGCATACCATGCATAGCTTGTTATTTATGCTCTTCATACACTCCTATCATGCTGTAACAATTTTTTTCACAAAAGGTAATAAAACAATCGCGACTGCGCTTTGAGCGCGTAATGTAAATCACAGTTTACATTAATGCACGCATTGATTTTCAACCTACCTGTCGTTTACGTTCGCCATAACGCATGTTAGGTCTTCAAAATTTTGATATGTAGCAAGATAGCAATATGGTCACGACTCACGAGTGTACCATGCCATGAAATTCATGCGATATGTGTGTTTCAGAGTTTTCTTAATATTTCTTAATTTACGTCACCTAATACTAGCTTTCGTATACATGAAGCGTGCGAAACAACCTTGAGCGATCTATGAGCGTACATTACATGCATTTCACGATTTTCCTGTCACCACGTGTCGGTTATGCTCCCTATGTATAATCATGTCACGCCATGCCAATATTGATAATTATCAAGCTAGAGAAACTGCCACAACTTCGCGATAAGCGTGTCATAGAAATAGTGAAGAGCATGACATTCGTTTTGTGATTTTCACGCTAATTCGTGCAACTTATGCTCGCCGTACAATTTCGGCATGACATACTGATTTCGTATATATCAAGCTCGCGAAACTACCGCGAAAGCACGAATATCTTGGCATGTAAGTTATGCTGTACATCACATGAATTTTATGATTCTCTTGTTGAGACCTGACGCTTATGCTTTCAACAGCAACGTTGTTCTAGCTCGGCTTAAAATGGCATGACCCAAAGCTATCATCATCCTGAACCAGCACGCTTTCTCCGTCTTCCTCTTCTGCTTCGCTCCCAGAATACTTGCGCCAAATACTCCGGCGGGGCTTGTAATAATCTCATTTGTGAAATAACAGACAGACAGACAGACAGACAGACAAACAGACAGACAGACAGACAGACAGACAGACAGACAGACAGACAGACAGACAGATAGATAGATAGATAGATAGATAGATAGATAGATAGATAGATAGATAGATAGATAGATAGATAGATAGATAGATAGATAGATAGATAGATAGATAGATAGATAGATAGATAGATAGATAGATAGATAGATAGATAGATAGATAGATGATATAGATAGATAGATAGATAGATAGATAGATAGATAGATAGATACCAGAAGTGCTTGCAGTACGCATAGAAATGCTTCGCATTGAAAATTTCACAACTGATATTTGACGTATTTGCACCAATGAACGGCAAGTACAGTAATGACGTCGCTTGAATCCCTATTATTGCGTCACGAACTGCGCCTGTGACAAATAAATGCGAGAACAGAAGAACACCTTCGATTTTTTTCCCACAGGATGTTTAAGGGCCCTTTACTTTTCAAGTTACTCCGTTCCTTCCAGGTTTCTGCCACATATGTCAGTACTTGCGGAATGAAATGATTGCATGTTTGTCACTTTAAAGAAACAGTGGTAGGTTTTCGATAAATGTTTGTTTTTTGTCGTGTGCACTCCAGACTTTTCACACACTTTAGTAAATTTCCTTCACACGGGAAGGCTGTCCCGCTACGAACTGTTCTTGTGGTTGTTAAAGTTTCCTTACACTTACATTGTTTGGTGTGCGGCTATAATAAAAGCACTTTTGGAATATCAGAAGTTGTTTCTCAAAAATACACTTAGATCCAATCAGTAGTACAAAAGCAAAGCGCCTACCTTCACGGAAGATGCGAGCCTGACTTAGTCAACAAGCAACTGCAGGAAATAAGAAAGGAAACATGGACACCATAATCATTTTCTATGAAATATAAACACTTCTCATATTTTATTGTCCCAACAAACCGAAAAAGCGCGGAATGTACAGAATGAGATAAAATTCAGCGTTGAAAAATACTCTTGAATGAACGTTACTTTCAGAGATGAAAAAAAAAACAAAAAACTGCGCACTTGTAACTGCGTGCATCTCAGAAGGCTCTGAATACGTTGGCTCTGGATGCCATGGAGCTTAGTCGAGGCTAGATTGTTCTCAGGTGAAACCACTTCACCTCACATAAAAAAAGAAACGCTGCTATAAAATAATAAGCTTTGCACTATGCATTGTTTCTTATGACAAAATTGAAGGCAACTTGGTGTCGTTCTCAGCCATTGACTTCATACCTCCCATATGAGTTTAATTACTAGATAGAGCCATAGGTAACGCTTAAAGAGGAATAATCCACTCCTGAAACATGACATACAGTAAAAGCCTCCCAATAATTTCTGACAACATAACTAGGGTCGAAACAATGACATGCGACTTCGTTAGCAATTTTCTGCTGGTCGCTTTCATAACTGCAATAACACCAAGCAGCAGTAAGCTAGTCTTTGGATCAGTAAGTTGCAGTAAGTTTTTGGATCAGTAAGTTGCAGCATTGTAGAATAATGGCGCACCTTTTCATTGAATGTACGTTTTGACTTGTATGCCACTCGATGTTTCAATTCTCAGATCTGTGTCTAATATGCACTCTTCCCTGTTAGCCTGTGGTGTTCTTATTCTGTTTTATTTCTTGGTTCTTCGACTAGATCTACAGTTGTAATTTGTAATTGTTTAGAGTAGTCTGTACTGTTCATTCTTATTTTTTCCCGTGTTCATTTTTTTTGTTCAGTGATAGATAGATAGATAGATAGATAGATAGATAGATAGATAGATAGATAGATAGATAGATGGATAGATAGATAGATAGATAGATAGATAGATAGATAGATAGATAGATAGATAGATAGATAGATAGATAGATAGATAGATAGATAGATAGATAGATAGATAGATAGATAGATAGATAGATAGATAGATAGATAGATAGATAGATAGACAGACAGACAGACAGACAGACAGACAGACAGACAGACAGACAGACAGACAGACAGACAGATAGATAGATAGATAGATAGATAGATAGATAGATAGATAGATAGATAGATAGATAGATAGATAGATAGATAGATAGATAGATAGATAGATAGATAGATAGATAGATAGATAGATAGATAGATAGATAGATAGATAGATAGATAGATAGATAGATAGATAGATAGATAGATAGATAGATAGATAGATAGATAGATAGATTCTAAAGCGTTTTCGGTACTTCAGGGATTGCTTCGCATTTAATAACGCAGGAACAAAAGGCCGGCCTGGATCTGCGGCGCATTGTGAAGGTGCTGCTGGTACTGTTTGTCATAATTGTCGTCCTGGGATTCGTAGTTTTTCTGCGAGCCCGTGGAAATGCGCAGCGCGAGAGGTTTTGTACCACGAAAGGCTGCGAGGAACACAAGTAAGACTTCTCATTCTTCTTTTGTTTGTTTTAACAACTAAGTGCATTCAGCGAAATTTAGCGCTTATCCTCATTGTTTACGTTGGCTTCTCGTTCCAGGGTCAAGCTATTTCATTGTTAAACCGGAGCTGCGTTCAACAATATACACATGCTTAAAGAAAGTTTGAGTATGCACAAAAAATTAGGCATCGGTTCACGCTTAATATGCTAGCTTGTAAACAAAAACGGACACTTTGTTTTTTCGATCATTTTCTTTAACTGTCCAGCCGTAGTCATGCATTGCCATCGTGACAGAGCCGTCGCAGCAGTTTACCTTTCGAGTGACAAAATTAGCAAGAGAAAGGAATGCTGTTATCTGTGTGAAGAAGATCTGACGGAGTTGTCCAACTTCTCTATAGTTTAACTCTCCACTGCACTGATGACGTTCGAGCCTAATGCCATTATTTGTGACATTTAGCATGCAGTCGAAAAGGCAAAGAGGCACTTTTCGATTAGCGATCCAGTATCAACGGAGCTAAAGGCTTAAGAAACTAGAAACTTCGAAAACAAAGAGACACACTTCGAGAAAGCTGGTAAGGATGACCGTATACGTGGGTGAAGTACCAAAACTTGCTGTGTCGCATGGTGAGTGATGCCTGTACCTAGCAGATTGGTCGTGTCTGTTGGTTTTTTGTTACTGGTGTTGGCGAATGGGCGAGTGTACCCTCGCGGCCTCGTCGTATACACGCCTATGGCGTTAGAACGTGGACTTCACTACAGAGAATTTGTGACAGCGTGTGAAACATACACCGCTTAACGTTGGGATCAATGGCCTTTCACAATCGGCATTGATAGAAGCAAGTTTGCCGCTTGTAATAATAAATATTATTGACACCTCTTTTCTTCTCACTTGCAGGCGTCGCATCGAAGGTCAGCTGGACAAAAGTGTGGATCCTTGCGACGATTTCGGCGCTCACGTCTGCGGAGGCTGGGCATCTCGCAAAGAGTTCCTGTTGTCACGCTCCCAGATGACGGATATGCACTTGGCCTGGCTGTACAAGCTCCCAACAACACTGGAGGCGGGCGTGGCACGTTTTCCCGTCGGCATGAAAGTCGACGCGATGTTCAAGAGCTGCATGATGCCAGGAAAGTCCCAAGTGAGCCTTATGAAAGAATTTATGAAGGAGCGAGGAATCATGTGGCCAGAACAACCGCCAGAAAATGTTACCCCGGCGATGGTGCTCTTCGACTTGTCTTTCAACTGGAACGTGCACCTATGGCTTACCCTGAAGGTCCTGCCAGAAATTCCGGGAAAGGTCAAGCGGCGTTTATTTTTCGCGCCTAACGATCTCATGTTGTTTTGGAAGGCTGTCTTCAACGAGATCCCCGACCAGTACCTCGAAAGCGTCTACGCCGCTTTGTTCAAGATGTGCGCCAACGACACGAGAAAGGTGCCGGACGTCCAGAAAGCTGCGCTGACAATACAAACACTTCGTTACGTTTTTAACACTTTGGTACCATCATGTCCTTGTAAAGCCCGCACACCGGCACTGATCCACCTCATCGATATTGACAATATCACGTCTCTTCCCATCGCAGCACACATGAAAGACGTGTTCAATGCCGTGCTGGGAATCGCTCCGCCCGTCACGTTGGACGAAATGCTGCTGTGGAATGACCTGTCTCTCATCAAAAATGTCGTGACGATATTGGAGCATTTCAATGACACAGTTCTATTGCGCCACCTGTCATATCTATTTGTTTATGCGTATGTGGCAGTGGCTTATCCGACGGGCTTTTTGCAGGCGATTCACGGCAGCAAGACACGCGCCAAAGAGGAACTGCCCCGTTTCTGTGCGGTCCAAATTGAGCCTGGCTTCAAGCTCCTCGTAGCTGCTATGGCCTCGGTCGCGCACTTTACTGACCTAGAACGGCACCATATCGTCGAGTACTTGGAGCAGATCGTGGAGGTAAGTGTGTAAGAAACAACCACGGGGAGATATCATATACGAGGAAGAGTATATACCAGAATTTTATGAGGAAAATTTCCGAGGTAGGTAAGGAGAAAAATTAGACAGCATGTTACACTGCGCAACCGTGCATTCGAAGACAAAGGCATGCTGTACACTTTGGCAAGCGTTAGGCTAGACACTGGGGTACCAGACTTCAGGCAACACATATCGAGCCGCAGTGTGTGGTACATGACTTTAATTATCTCAATTCACTTTCTCAGTCGATTCCCAAATTTTGTTTGTGAAGTTTCACGCACCTCTCGTGGCTCGTGGTGCCACCAGTATCAAACCACTTTTGAACATGATGATCTGTAATGCCATCATGTTACTTGATAGTGCGACGTCGTTTGTCCCAACACGACTTCCCTGTAGCATAGGCCATGTGGATACCCCTTGCAGCGTTTCGCTCAAAGTGCCGTTCAAGAAGGCACTTAACGGACTAATGACACTATTTTGACACTTCGTAAAAAGAGAGTTCCTCGTTTCCTTGGTGTACAACGTTAAAGGGACACTAAAGTCAAATAACAATTTATGTCAGAGTGAAAGCTCAATGTACGACGACATCTAAGACGACAATATTATCAACAATGCACTACTTACCGAGAAATAAAGGTAAATGCACAAGAACACAAGCGCCGCAGTAGGACATTTTAAAAATGAACCCGATGACATCAGACGAACCACCTACAATTAATCACTGGTAATTGATCTAACTGCAATATATTTATATATATATATATAGGTATGGGATATGGCACAACGGGAGCGTTGTCAACAAGGATAAATATATTTATTTCCCAACAGTTTCGGGAGGGGACCTCCCTTCATCAGGGGATGAGTGGATAACTCATCCCCTGATGAAGGGAGGTCCCCTCCCGAAACTGTTGGGAAATAAATATATTTATCCTTGTTGACAACGCTCCCGTTGTGCCATATCCCATACCTTCACGAAGACTAACTGGCCCATTGAATTATTACTCCCACTATATATATATATATATATATATATATATATATATATATATATATATATATATATATATATATATATATTGTAACGAGGGCAGTGGGCATGGAGAGCTCGAGGATAGAAAAAGAAGAAGACTTGCTGTGATCGCAGGCTTGCGTTCAGTTAGCCCTTGCGCTAAATAATGCTCTCCTTCGCCGAGTCAACCCCTGCTTGTTCAACAACCCGTTTCAAGTGGTGGAAGTGCTGGGTACATCTGGTCCTCACCCTGGAACTTCGCAGCCGCACACTCCAACGACCTCCTAAAATGACTGATCCGGGGCCATCTCATGCTGCTACTCCAGATCTCGCACCTGTGCCTGTCTTCCGCGCTGGCGCTCTCCGGCAGCGTGACCCCCCCATATTTGGTGGCACAGAGGACCAAGATGTGGACAACTGGATTGCCGAGTATGAACTGGTGAGCGCCGTCAATAAGTGGAACGCAGCCGATAAGCTCACAAATGTGAGTTTTTATCTGACCGACGTGGCAAAACTATGGTACAGAAATCATCAAAGTGATTTCAGTACCTGGTCGGAATTGGCGAAAACCCTCGCGGAAGTCTTTGGCCGTCCTGCTGTCCGCCGCCTTCGTGCTGAACAGCGCTTGCGGGGCAGAGTACAGAGAGCAGATGAAACTTTCACGAGCTACATCGAAGATGTGCTATTTCTCTGCAAGTTCGTCGATTCGACTCTGGACGAGGCAGGCAAGATCAAGAACATCATGAAAGGAATCGACGACGGTGCATTCCGAATGCTGGCTGCGAAGAGTCCCCAGACGGTCGCCGAAGTGATTCAGCTCTGCCAAAGCTATGATGAACTGCGTAGGCAGCGCGCTTCTACACGTTGCGCTGCTCAAGACACCGCGGACATCTCATCTCTCGACTATCGCCATGACACCGCCGACCACTCTGCGTTGATGCCAGTCATAAAGCAATTCATACGTGAAAAGGTCGCCCGGCAGCTATCTATAATCACAAGAACTACCGAGCCGATGGCACCCTTGTCGCCTTCGCTTCGCCAGATCATTCAATCGCAAGTTGCCGAAGCATTGCCGCCAGCTCAGGCTCCCCCAACTGTTACCGCACCACTAACGTATGCAGCCGCAGTTGCTCGGCCACGTGCGCCAGTGTCTCCGGCCATCTACGAAGCTACTCGCCACGTTTATTCGTCGACGCCACCTTCCCGCTCGTTGACCGTCCCGTCTCCGGCTGTATATGAAACAGGTAAGAACGTTTATATGACGCCGCCGCCTGCACGACCATTTACGGTACCTTATTCAGCGAACAGTGCCTTTATCGTCAGCCAATGGCGCACTCCAGATAATCGGCCGATATGTTTTTCAATTGGCATCCCAGGCCACGTAGCTCGTCACTGCCGTCGTCGCAGCTTCCCTTCTCACGACATTGCAGGGGCCTCACATTACATGCCCAACATGCACACTCAGCCGCGATATCCCGTTCCTGCCAATCCACCTCTAGACGTACGTCCCGGTCGTCGACCATCCGGCGCAAGCCGTTCACCTTCTCCTCGTCGTCGATCTATTTCTCCGATGTTACGTCGCAACAGCCCACCGCGAGGGGAAAACTGACGGGCGCAGTTCCGGAGGCAAGAACTGCGTTGGCAGCGAAAATTTCAAGACCTAACTGCTGTCCCCCAAACGAAATCGAACTCTATATTGATGGCATTAAGGTGCACGGACTTGTTGACACTGGAGCTGCCGTATCTGTAATTAGCGAGAAACTGTGCCGAAACTTGAAGAAAGTGACCACACAACTTACCGACCTATCTTTGCAGACAGCTACGTCCCATCATATTCAGCCTTCAGCTTTGTGCACTGCACGAGTCGTCATTCAAGGTGCGATGTACGTCGTCACATTTGTAGTTTTATTCCGTTCTTCGCATGACGTTATCCTTGGGTGGGACTTTCTTTCGTCAAATTCTGCTTTGGTCAACTGTGCTCGTTTTGAAACTTGCGTTATCTCTGCCGTGCTATGACCCCGACGATGGTGCTTCTTGTAGAGTGTTTGCTGCTTCTGACGTTGACATTGCGCCTTTCTCAGCTGTTGTTGTCTCGGTGTCGTGTGCCTCCCCTCCGAAATCGCCTGTGTTGTTTATGCCATCGGTCCCATCTGCATGCCGTCGAAATATCATGCTTCCGTTTGCCGTCGTCATTTTTCGCAATGGTCACGCTGCCATTTATGTGTGCAATCCGTCGGACAGCCCGTCATCCCTACTACGTGGAGAATGCCTGGGAAGCTACGAACCTTGCGAGTGCATTCATCCGGCTACTATACCCGATTCTGCAGTTTCACTCCCAATTGGTGCTGTCACTCCTACCAACGCGTCTAATGATGCTCTGGACGTATTCTCGGATGCCATCGACTCTGAGCTCACACCAACTCAGCGCGAAGAGATTATAAATCTTCTTCTCCGCTTTCGTTCTTCATTCGATCGTGACTAGCCAGGCTTAAGCCGAACCTCTGCGGTCGTTCACCGTATTGACACCGGTAAACAAGCCCCGCTAAGGCAGCGTCCGTACCGTGTGTCATCTGCTGAACGCCGTGTCATCGACGAACAAGTGGACGACATGTTGAAACGTGGCATCATCGAGCCCTCCAACAGTCCCTGGGCTTCACCGGTTGTTCTCGTCAGGAAAAAAGACGGATCCATCCGGTTCTGCGTTGACTACCTCCGACTCAACAAGATAACGCGCAAAGACGTATACCCTCTGCCACGCATCGATGATGCTTTGGACTGCCTACAAGGAGCAGAGTTTTTTTCTTCGTTAGATTTACGCTCTGGCTACTGGCAGGTGCCCATGGCAGAGGGTGACCGCCCGAAGACAGCCTTTGTAACACCGGATGGACTATATGAATTCACCGTTATGCCCTTTGGCCTCTGCAATGCGCCTGCCACTTTCGAAAGGATGATGGATACCGTCTTGCGAGGTCTGAAATAGAAAACGTGCCTCTGTTATTTGGATGACATTGTGGTATTTTCAAGCGACTTTGCGACCCACCTCAGCCGCCTCGAGCAAGTTCTTACGTGCCTTTCCACGGCGAGACTTCAACTTAACTTGAAGAAATGCCACTTCGGCGCTCGCAAGCTTGTAATTCTCGGCCATGTGGTTTCTAAGGACGGCATTCTCCCGGACCCTACGAAACTTAATGCAGTCGCGGCGTTCCCAAAGCCAACCACCATCAAAGAGCTTCGAAGCTTCATCGGCTTATGTTCTTACTTCCGGCGCTACGTCCGCAATTTCGCCTCCATTATCGCCCCCTTTACCAATCTTCTTGCCGGAAGTTCTGACTTGTCAGCGTGGTCGCAGGCGTGTGATGATGCATTTGAGGAACTCCGACGGCTCCTCACCACGCCTCCCATACTCCGACATTTCGATCCGTCTGCTCCAACGGAGCTTCATACGGGCGCTAGGGGTGTCGGGCTAGGGGCCATACTGGCCCAACGCAAGGAGGGCTTTGACGAGTCCGTCGTTGCCTATGCCAGTCGCACCCTCAGTAAAGCGGAGAAGAATTACAATGTAACTGAAAAGGAGTGCCTCGCCATTATTGGGGCAATCGGAAAATTTCGGCCTTATTTATATGGACGTCTGTTTGATATTGTAACAGACCACCATGTGCTTTGCTGGTTATCTTCACTAAAAGATCCTAATGGTCGGCTCGCTCGTTGGGCATTGCGGTTACAGGAGTTCGATATGCGTGTTATCTACCGTTCTGGCCGGAAGCATTCCGACGCCGATGCCCTGTCACGTTCGCCATTGGCTTCAGAGCCTGTCGGCTCGCCTATCTCCACTAGTGCTGCCTTGGCCATCAGCATCTCGGACATGCCTTCCGAGCAACGCAAAGATGCTTGGATTTCTTCTCTTTTGGACTTTCTCTCAAACTGGACGCCCGCTCCAGTTTCCAGGACGCTTCACCGTCAAGCAGGACACTTCGCTATTCGGGATAACCTGCTCTACCGCCGAAACTACAGCTCGATCGACCTTAAGTGGTTGCTCGTCATCCCCCGACATCTGCGCTCTGACATCTGTGCCACGTTCCACGATGATCCGCAATGTGGCCACGCTGGTGTGTTAAAAACATACACCCGCTTGCAGCTGCGGTACTACTGGCGCGGTATGTACCGTTTCGTTCGCCGTTACGTAAGGTCTTGCCTTACGTGCCAGCGACGCAAAATGCCCACTCAACATGCCACAGGTCCCTTGCAGCCGTTGCCATGTCCAGCACGAGCTTTCGATCGTATCGGAATCGACCATTACGGTCCGCTTCCCTATACTTCGAGTAGCAACCGCTGGGTCATTGTCGCTATCGACCACCTAACGCGGTACGCTGAAACAGCTGCGTTACCTTCTGCTACCGCAAAAGAAGTTGCGTTTTTTATACTGCAAAACCTGGTTTTAGGGCATGGAGCACCTCGGGAGTTACTAAGCGACCGTGGCCGCGTTTTTCTCTCCGATGCCATCAAAGCGTTGTTGAGCGAGTGTCGCATCATACACCGCACTACCACAGCCTATCACCCGCAAACTAATGGGATGACAGAGCGTTTTAATCGTACACTTGGGGATATGCTGGCCAAGTACGCTTCATCCGACCAGTCAAATTGGGATAGCATACTCCCTTTTGTGACATATGCTTACAACACCGCAACGCAAAGCACCACTGGATTTTCGCCTTTCTTCCTTCTTTATGGACTCGAGCCATCATCAACAATGGATACCATTTTTCCTTATCGACCGGACCCTTCAGAGATGACTACCGTTTCTCGAGCAGCAGCACACGCTGAAGAATGTCGGAAGCTTGCTCGTGCGTTCACGTCACACGACCAGACGCGCCAAAAACATCGCCACGACGCGTCAACCACGCATATGAGCTTTGCTCCGAACTCACTGGTGTGGCTATGGATTCCTTCTACTACTCCAGGACTCTCCCACAAGCTTTCGTCCAGGTACCATGGCCCTTATCGAGTTGTACGCCAAACATCCCCTGTCAACTACCTTGTCGAGCCGCTGGATGCATCTCCGGACAAGCGCCGTCGGGGAAAAGAAATCGTACACATCTCTCGGCTCAAGCCATACCATGATCCTTCTGTCTACACCTGTCCTTAGGTCGCCAGGATGGCTCCCTCATCGGCCGGGGGTGATTGCAACGAGGGCAGTGGGCATGGAGCTCGAGGATAGAAAAAGAAGAAGACTTTCTGTGATCGCAGGCTTTCGTTCCGTTAGCCCTTGCGCTAAATAAAGCTCTCCTTCGCCGAGTCAACCCCTGCTTGTTCAACAACCCGTTTAAAGATATATATATATATATATATATATATATATATATATATATATATATATATATATATATATATATATATATATATATATATATATATATATATATATATATATATATATATATATATATATATATATATATATATATATATAAAGAACCTTCCGTGCATACAGAGACGGAAAAAATTGCTGCTTGTTCCTTCCTTTCTGTTTGATTCATGAAAAAAAGAACCGCCGGACGTTACTATGGGGAATGGCGCGAGTGGTTCAAAAATTCAATTTTAGCGTGGTTACACAGCACAGGTGGTGCGATGTTTAAACTGTGCGGGGCACAGTTGAAACAAAAGCGTCTGCAATCTTGAAGGCAATGGCGGGAAATCAATGAATGGCCGTTGTTGCTGCTGTGGCTCCCACTGCTTTCGGTCTGCTGCTACTAGCGCAGTGAAGCTGGGCAACGTTGTGCACGGCAACAGTGACGTGAGATGGTCCAGTCAGTTCGTTTTTTGAGGCGGGTGAATTGAAGTGCGCTGACCCGATGAGGAGCACTAAAACGTGATTTTATTTCAAATATAGGCACTTCCTTGGCACGAAAGTATCACTACGAGGTTTCTGGACCTCCTTTTGAACAATCAACGCCAACTTAATAGTTGGCTTTAGTGTCACTTTAAGGCTATCCACACACCAGAGTATAACAACACGCATAAAATATTTTACCTTGATTTTAAAGTTTTCGTCGCTGGGCATTAGTAAGCCTACCTCACAGTGATGGCATTATCCCGATGAGTCATCACAGTTTCACTGAGTTCACAAACTCTGAGACCTGCATGCAGTCTTAGTAGCCGAAGTGACTGCCGGGGTCACGGAACGTCAATTTATTCATAAATGGTTTCGTGCGCATCTGACAGTTCTGACAGTGATGACCATCGGACAATTCTGCCTGTAATATAAGGCGACTTTCCGTCTCGCGTGACGTAACACTGCCATTATACTTCACTGAGCAGTCACCGCCTCAATATCGAAACCGAAAGTTTTTTGGTTTTTTGTTTTTTTGAGGCAGTGGCATTACACATACATTGGTGCAAGCCCAGGCACTGTTGGGGTTCTCTCCTTTGAAAAAAAAAGCCGAGTGTTACTTTCGACATGATTCAAGCACTGATCATCTAGAAAAGTGAAATCCAGCAATACTAGTCCAGCACATGCAAAAATTTACGCGTAGATTTATAGCTGTTTGTTCATAAAGCACAGTGATGCCCGTTGTAGCGAAAATAGTGTCGGCCTCTCAAATATACGAAGAGACTCCTCGTTGTATATAAACGGCAGTGGCGTCGCGCTGAGAAAGATGTTTTGACTAGATAGCTTCCCGACGACAGCGGCCACAGTTTAATGGAATAACACGCAACAACAACCATTTACTATGATTAACGTGATTTACAAAGAACCTTAGTTTGTCAAAACTATCCCACTGGTTCCCCCTCCCCACGTAAAGACCGAAGGATATTGTTTTCCCGTTGCAGGTGGCTTCCAACAAAACGATGGCAAGTGATTGGATGGACACCAAGATAAAAAATGCAGCCGTGGAGAAGCTCAGCAACGTGCACACTGTCCTTTGGCCTTCGGAGAAGTTTCTGACAGCAAATGCACTAGAGAATGTCTACAAAAGCTTCCCCGATAGCGCTTCCTCCTTCACGAAGTTCTGGATTGAGACGCGACGCAGCCAACGCCAACTGTTCGGATCCGAAGCGGCCGCTGAGGAGTTGGCGCTGGGAGACAATGCCCAGTTACCCTACGTTAACTACGTAGACATGCTCAACCGTCTGTCCCTCTCCCTGGGAGCGCTGGCACCACCCCTTTACTATCCCGATGGCACCCATGCCATGTTGCACGGTGGTGTCCTGTATATGTACGCTCGTGCGCTCATGGGTGCCATTGACAACAAGGGGATCACGGTAAGTATGAGACAGATGTGAAGTGAAACACACTGACTCCTGAGAAGGCGTATAGAGAAGTTGTTGGTTCTGTTTTTAGGCGAGCGGACCACTCCATACTTTTTTCAGCTACTACGGTGGTGCCGAATATAGGCACACTGTCACACTATCAGTGTTGTCGCAGTATTCTCATGAAATAAGCTGTGAAGTAACGAATGTTATGGAAATGTTACGAAACTTTACATGAAACTGTACATCGAGGCGTACAGTCATGCACTTCACAATATATCAATGAGGTCATTTTATGAGAGTGCAGTAGAGGCTTACGTCAGCGTCATTTTTTTCTGAGTGTCTAAATATTGAAGGAATGTAAATATGTCTGATAGGGTGGCAATCGCTAGTGTTCTAGGCAAGAATTCTTTGTTGGACTCGGTAACGTGAGCTAGAAAGAGATGCCAAATGCCGGCCTACGTCCATAACACGACGCCGGCAACTACACTAAGCCTACTCTTCTAGGGGCAAAGAAAGGTGGGGAACCTGAGTGGGAACGCGAACCCATCTGAAGCGGCTTGTTATGTGCTCTGTAATTTCTCTTTTAGAGCCCTCATCCGTGAAAGTGCTACGGCAGCATGTTTACATTGTGCAAGGGCGCATGTGTCTCTTTATGACAAATTTTGGCCCGTGTAATATTTGCTAATCGTTTGAATGTTGCTTTATGATGGTTAAAAAAAGTCCTTGCCGAATGGCTTCCCGTCCTGCGAACTCTTTTAATCATAACTTGAATGAAGGAGGTTGCAAAGGCATGACTAGAGTGCCTTTTTTGAAAGCAATAAACTGAAACTGAAACTGAAGAAGATTGCAAAGGCATTACTTGAGGGAAGAAGATTGCTAAGTCATGACTTTTTTGAGTGAAGTAGATTGAAAAGGCATGACTTGAGTGAAGTAGGTTGCAAAGGCATGATTTGACTGAAGTAGGTTGCAAAGGCATGAAGAATCATGCCCCGCCACTCGACTGAGATGTAATCGTAGTTTTATCTTGTAGCATGGTATCCAATCATTCACGCGGATCATGCGAATGTTATATCTTCGCAGTAAACATAAACACGTTTAAAGATGAAATTGAGCGTTTCTTGGTGTTAAACAAATTACCCCTTTCCCGGCCTATTTTGCGTCACGCACTTTTTGCAGTGGGGAAAATGGTGTTGGCATTTAAAAAGGGGTGAATCTTTTTTAACTATATGCCCGCAGGCAAAGAGTTTTTGTGCGATTAACAAGTTGCCGAATTTCTACTTGTTTAGTAGTATAAGCAAAACATTTCCCGCAGATCAATTCCGAAGGGGAGATGATGACGTCGTGGGCGAGTGACGACGTGCTGGACACTTTTGAGCAGCGCATTCTGGGTTGTCTTCCCGACAACGTGAGCATCTTTCCAGAGGTTCCAGCAATGGAAGTGGCCTACGAAGCATTCAAGCTGCACTTCGGTGAAGACGAGACCCAACTGTCCGAGGTGGGCGGCAATTCACGCAGCGCCTTTCGAGTCTGAGGACGAATATTCTTGCAGCTGTAACCCAATTAGGGTATCCAGGCTACGCAGGAAGTGACGAACCAATCGTAAAATTGGGTCATCAGTACACTTTGCTTGTATTTGCTTATTTGCTTCAGCCATCATATTTTACAGTATCATCACCGAGTAAAGCCGCTCACATTTAGACCAATTCATGGCAACCTATATGGCTTAGATTATAAAGAATTGAGCAGCTAAATGTGAGCAGCTCAAACTGGGGCGGATTAGTATACAGCTAGGCGGATATTCACGGTGCCCCAGTTACGACGTGGCAAGATTTTTCATAAAGAGGAATGACGTTATTTATAGATGACGAATTCTTACTACTGCAGCCTACTCGAGTACTCACTATTTTAATTTTCGTTGATGAGGTTCAATTTATAGTTATTGTACTTTGACTAGAACTCGCGTAATTATAGTGTTCGTCTGGTGTAACACCCACGTTCTTTCGACGTCGTTAGGCAACTTTGAACAACTGGTTATATAGAACATGTGACTGTTGAACATATGTTTGCTCACGCATTTCTCCATATCGTTAGTGTCATTTGCAGCGTTTCACTCCATAAAAATTACATCCCCATCATATTCCCTCTATATGCTTCGCATAACATCGATTCTCATGGTGCGTGAGATCCGCACAATTTCTTTTTTTTTTCAGTTGATAGCGTTATTTTATGACCATCATATTCGTAACAAATATGAATCACTAACGTCGTGATGGACCTCATCATAAAACACTTGCACGTTTTAAAAAGTATTCAGAATCGCATGAATACTCGAATCTAGGCCCTCCGATACCAAAGAGTTACGCCGGTTCTTGGAGTTTCTTGGTCAAAATATTTTTTACAGTATTCATGTCGGGCAAGAAATACCAACTAGGCATCCTGTAATGTGAATTCACAAATAGCAGGATCAAAGCTTCCCAGCCACTCTATGTTTTAAGCCACAGAATCAACAAAGTACACATAACGCTATACAGATGTCAAGCGGGTACCTTTGCTTCTTTACAGCACGCGTTGAATAATGGCATAGTGAATATTGGCCTGCTTCCCAAAATCTATTATGTATAGCCTATGCTTGCTGTTGTAGTAGTCACCCCAGGAGAGTTTACAACGGGCTCCCGAAATGCCACTACACCTGTTTTCACAGTGGCTTCGCAGACCTGTCGTTTTTTGTTTTGTTTTTCTCTACCAACATAACGGGATTCGTGGAGGGCTGAGCGGGACAAGTGTTGATCTGTGACGGGTAATTGGTTAGGTGGTATGAACAATGTAATTATGAGTACAAGCCGTGCTTGTTACAACATATAGGTGTAATGAGAAGTACAAACGTTACTTCGGTTGCAAGTTACTACGAAGTCAAGAACCTGAATTCTGCGGCATTGTTTCGCAGGAGTTGACAGAGGAGAAGGTGTTCTTCATCACCGCCTGCCTCTCCACTTGCGCCACGACGCCGGCGGACAATCTCTACGGCGGAGACTGCAACAAGGCGGTGATGAACTTCGCCCCGTTCGCCAAGGCATTCAGTTGCCCCGAGGGCTCCAAGATGAATCCAGGGACCAAGTGTTCATTTTATGACTGAACACGGAGCGCTTTCATTTGATTACATATACGTTACATGCCGTGCCTCATCGCCGATCATATTGACGTTCTTCGCTGAATGCGGCGTCGTTACTACACGGCGATGATGCATGTGCTTGACATTCAGATTCGCTTTGTTTTTTAGCTACGTGTACTCCTGTTGCTTGTTACTTTCTCCTACATTGATGGACTTCATTTTCGTTCGAGACTTCAGCGAGGCGCACGGTCTGTTTTAAACGTTATCATTTGGGACTAGGTTTAATAAATACTAAATAGATATGTTCAATAAATAAAGTGTTTTTTAACAATACCTTGCGAGGATATTGGCCCACGATTTTGCTTTCAGTGATGACGCATTCTTCGCTGACTTGAGGTAGGTACAGTGACGAAGCATCCAAGCGCGCGCCAATATGGAGGCTGCGGTTGGGTTGTACGATGGATAAATACTCGTGTTTTATCTGGTAAAAGCGTGAATAGACTTCTGATGCGTGACTAAGAAGAATGTAAATGGGAACACTGCATATAGGGTAGGTAGCGTGGACATAACATTGCTATTGGCACTTTAATTAGCTTGTTTTAGTGACATTCTTCAGAGGACAAAGGTAGATGGACTACATGGTTCATACAAATGTAATATTCTTGATTGTAAACTTTCGAAAAATCGACCAGTGCGTCTATGTTCTACAAGCTCACTTGGCTGTATCATCCCTTATATTGATGAGCATATATTACAGCACTCTCATTTTGAACAGAAACAGGTAAAACTTATTCTGTCATGATGTGACCTGTGTTTCTAAATTTAGCAGTAAAGATATTTTGAGCGAATGTGAGAGCGAAGTAAACAATCTGAAATATTCGCACGGTGTGCATCTCATTAGCTGGACAAGTCGAAAAGCCTTATGAAATAACAAACACTGTAGTGCAAGAAAAATGAAAGGGTCTTGTTTCTTTATTCTTTATTCATTATTTATTCATACATAACTCCGCTTTGTTCGGAGGCGTTCCGGCAGGGGGTTACAAACATGAAAAAAGATACGCATTCATTGTGACTGCTTACTTGCTCAGACAGCAGACTCTTGCACTGGTTAATAGTTTTCACCAACAAAAATCGCAGCATATCCACGGAGTGAATGATTATGAGCGGGGCGAAGCGCGGGAGTGTTTCAATAAAAAAAACGTAAACCATCATCAATAAACCGTAAACCGTAAACCATAAAGTTTGAACAAAAGGTTGTTGTTGTTGTTCTCCTATTGTTAGGGGCGTAAAAAAAGAGAAAGTATCGATAACTGCAATAGGTTACAACAATGGGAGCAAAAGGTTACAACGCTGCTGCAGTCCACGCGCGTTCCGCTCAGCCCTTCGTCGTCGCCATTCCGAATCGTCTTCTCAGCCCGCCGGCGGCAGAAGCACGTACCGTCCCGGTGCGATCAATCCTCGGGGCGTGAGTATCATGACTTAGGTTTCGACATGTGAACTATATCGGCCGGGACTGAAGCCGTCGCTGATTTAGGATGGAGTGGAGCAATCTCACAAGTTACACTAGTAACCTTGCGTATGACCCGTTAAGGGCCAACATAACGGGACATCTGTTTTTCACAGCGCGTCGTGATGCATCCACATCGAGACCAGCGACCCGGGGGAGTACCGCACGTCGTGGTGCCGGTGATGGAAAACACTCTTGGTTAAACTGCGACTGCGAGGCACACAAATGATCCCGGACGACTTGGCGGGCAATGTCAGCTTATCACACAGCATATCCATGGAGTGAATGATTATGAGCGGGGTGAAGCGCTGCAGGGTTTCATCAAAAGCCGTAAACTGTCCCCGAATATCGCCCACTACGTCATCAAAGACTTCACAAACACTCTATATATTTCTACAAGAAATTTTATTATTCGTGTCGCGAGCGTATAGGCAGTAGATGAGGCCACGTCGGAATGAAGCATGGTATCCATGGGTTAAGGCGGGTCATAACCAAACATTAGATAAAATTGTGAAAATTCCGCTGTGTCACGTGAACATCTGCATGCGAAGGAAGCATTTTTTTAATGCTAGTGTGCAGAATCTTGCAACTGTAATGTATGCCGTCAGCTAGAAAACCCGAATGATTGGCGCCAAAAGCACCACCTTTTTGCTAGAGAATATCAGCGCTTTCATTCAAAAACAAGCCTTTGTGTCCTGGTACCCAAATTAAATGGAGACATTGAAGGTGCGTGGGAACTAGTGTTCAGCATTCTGAAAAGCTGTAGCCAGTAGCGTACCAACTTCTTCGCGAGTGGGGATCAAGGTTCTCTCCATCAGGCATCGCATCACACACACACACACAGATATATATATATATATATATATATATATATATATATATATATATATATATATATATATATATATATATATATATATATATATATATATATATATCTTGAAAATAATTGGTGGAATAGTTTGTGTGCTAATTTTTGAGCGTAAGAGCCCGCTAGTACAGCAAAAGATTGGTAATTTGACACAGGTTACTTCGGGAAATTGGATGATTCGGACGTGTTTTCAGGCCTGGCAGCGTATGTATTGTTTACTGGCACGAGAACTCAAACTGATTTGGTGAAATATGGACGCAACCCGGTTAATTAAGATGTTCCTCGCAGTGCAACGTGCGTGAAACAGGGAAATATGTGATGCAAAGGTCGGAAAACGAGTAGACAGCCAAAGTCGGCACGCCCTACAGAAAGCCGTGGTCATCACCCACAATAGCATTGTTGGTACGTAACAGGGTATTGAATCGAAGGACACTTTTGATTGAAACACAGGGTCTTGAGCCACGTTCACATTGTGAACGAATTCTCAAATTACGAATATTGTGACTTGTGCAGTGTTTCTATGCAGCAACAACAACAAAAAAAGGAACTTTGCAGGTATATATACTGGTGACAAGCTTGAGGAAAGTGTGAACCTGGGTGGCCTTCTTTGTATTTCATCCTGTCTTTGTTTTCTGTTTTTTTACTGTTTTTTAATCATTTGTTATTTCTATTTCTTTCTTGATCTCAATTTTTCTTCTTACTTTTCCCATTTCCCTCTCTGGTTCGCGCTTGCTTAACTGCTGACACGGCATTGCATTCTTAGATGAAGGATAGGGCATACCGCGTGAAATTGAGGAAGTGTATCCCATTCACGAAGCAAGTACATTTTGCGTCGCGAAACCCTTGGTCGTGATACTTGCCACAGACTAAGACTTCCCCCAAGCGCCCTTGAAGTCATTTATTCATGGCTTTTTAACGCGTCTTCACTTAAGGAAACGTATATTCATTTTTTCAATAAACTATGACATCATGGTTTGCCCTTTGTCCACGTTACAATCTTGTGTGTTATTATTGTTTTGTGCACCGCCTCACTAAGATGACTCTTCTAGCTAATGGCAAAAAATGTTTTTGTTTCGTAAAATCATCTGCGCCATACGAAATGTCGTAAATGAGCGAAAACTTGTTGCGGTAAAGTTACGTGTGCACAAATAACAGTGCATTACTGCGGTGAAGTTTTTTTGGCATTGAGGGACAGCATCTTCATCAGGAATAAATCAAGAAGCATTCCCGGCAATCAGTCAAGCGGTGGCTTTCATTGCAGTAGGCGACATGAATTTATGTGCCTTTGATAAACATTTTCAGTTGTAATATATTCATGAGTCATTTATGCGCACGAAAAAATAAGCATAATTAGGAACAGATGAAAACATTCACAGGTGGGCAGGCTTTGTAGTCCAGAAAAGTGTGGACTATCTCCTTGCTAAGGTCAATCAAGTCATGAAGCAAGCCTCAAAGCTGAGCTTTCCTCAGCGCTTGAGTCTACTGCCTTACTCATCGCATTGTTGCTAGCCACAACAATTGTTTAAACCTACCATAGTACAAGTTAAGCGAAGCTGGTAAATTGGCGACTAAAGTACAATCAGCTCTCCCGAGTCGGGACCCTTAAAAAACACTTCTACGCCCTCTTTTACTCACGGCAGCTAAGGTATAGAGCAGCCGCGATTCAATTCGTTTTCTAAGAAACATAATGAGTTTTTAAGGCGGCAACAGCACGGAACAGGTCCATGAAGCGTGTCCTGTTTGGCTCCCGCCTGCACCTGCGTCACCTGTGATGCGAATTTCAGGTCAAGCGAAACCCAATAACGGCATGACAGAATGGTCTGACGTTCTAGAGGCCCTGCTGAGCGGTAGCTTCCTCTGCAGAGTCTGAGTGCAAGGCGGGAAAGCGTTACATACGCGGCCCGCAATGCAGAAAGCCTACAGTTCATGGTCGCGACACACGAAAAAAAAAAACCTTCTCAGCAGAAAACGGGGACAAATATGTTACGAAATGTCATTATGCATAATTACGTAGCTCCTGCACTGAATGAAAATTTTTCCTCACTTTGTTTAGCAGTGGGCAGCCGACAATGACTACTGCCGAAACGGGGGGGGGGGGGGGGGGGGGGGCTCAGCCTTTCTACTATTCTCAGTGGGGGGGGGGGATATACGCCTGTTGCTTCAGTAGATGCGTTTCACCGGATGCGTGGAGAAAATAACACAGGCGAGTCAGTGATAATTGTTACTACAGTAATTGAACTGCCTAATCCTCGTAGAGCTAGTATTATGGCCATAAATTCATCTATAAAACTGGGATAAGATGAGGCAGACGTAAAAAAAAAGACCAATCAAGTTCAAGGCAGAATATTCATACGCCAGCTCTATCCTTAGTTTGCGATGCATTCATTGCAATAACCACATTAGTTGACATAATATTTAGATGCTCTGGTAAAAGTTCATTCGAATTCCATGAGGTAATAATTTCACATGATTCGGAAAAATATCGTGGTAGGCAATATCTGTGAAGTTTGGTTGTATTGTCAAAGGAAACATATCACGAATTTGTACATTCAGAGCGTAGGCCCCGCCGCGGTGATCGAGTGGCTGAGGTACTCGGCGGCTGACCCGCAGTTCGCGGGATTTAATCGCGACTGCGGCGGCGGCATT